ACTATCAGTAAAACTCATCCCCTTTCTCCCTTTGTCCATGAGACTTCAATGCCTTTTTATAGTAGTTCTGAACAGTCAGCCCGGAGAGGAGACGTTTGTCAGCTTAACTTCAACAGATTTGAACTCAGACCCTGCAAATGACTGTCAATGGTTGCAGTTCAGAGGATGCTATTTGGCTTCTTGTTTCTGTCTCAATTCCCACCCCCTTGTCAATAACAAGTTTCAATGGCTCCCAAACCCCAGGGAAATTAGTTCAAGATCCTCGCACCATTTTTCTTCAAATTGGTCTGTAGTTCTTGCCCCCATTTAGAGTCACAGAGGTTTACAGCATGGAAACAGGCCCTTCGGCCCAACTTATCCATGCCACCCAGTTTTTACAATTAAACTAGTGCTATTTGCCTGTGCTTGGTCCATACACCTCCATATCGACCCCATCCATGTACCTGTCCAAATGTTTTTTAAATGACAAAATTGTACTCACCTCCACCACTACCTTTGGCAGGCTGATCCAGACACTCATCACCCTCTGTGCGAAAACTTGCTTCTCTGGACCCTTTTCTATATCTCCCCTCTCACCTTAAACCTATGCCCTCCCCTACCATGGGGAAAAGCTGTTGATGATCTACCTTATCTATGCCTCTCATGATTTTACAGACCTCCATAAGGTCTGTTGAGCGCAGTCAAACATCAAAGATGATACACAAGAAGAACATAGTAGCTCCACACACACCCTGGTCTTGCCATGGATTTTTCTGTTGTGATTTACAGGGCTGGGGAAATCTGGCCGTGGACGGATTGAAACAGACCCTGACTCTAACATTGCGATATCAGAATTGGACGCAAGAAACCAAACATTGCAGATGTTAAAAGTTCAAAAAGTCTTTTTTTTTTTACATAGTCGATGGAATTCCGTCTTTCGTCAGCCCTCTCGGGTGTACACGCATTCAAGTCAATGGTCAAGGAGCCTCTGGAATCATCACGCCTCAGGCTTTGAAAGCAAGATGCACCATAACCTGTGGATACACAAAGAATGGGTTAGCCACTGCACTGTCTCTACCAAGCCTTCAAAGTAAAGGAACTTAATGCCATGTGTCAAATTTGCGTGTCAAATGTGTCAAATTTCCAGCTGATAGCAGTCTTAAGAGGGCAATGGAATAATTGGAGGCACATGACAAAGTGTCGAATAAGTTAAAAATAGTGTGGAAGAAAAAGTACACGGGCAGCCAGAACAATTGCGAGTGAAATTTAAGGTAGACCAGTGGCAAAAAGTGAAAATATAAAGTGACACATATTCCATGTACTATACTGAAATCATTACAGGTGCAGCTAAAACAAGCTTGGTTTATTCAATTCACAATATACCCAGAGCAGCAACTAACAGGAATGTTGAACTTGTGTCGCAATTACACCACTCACAAACTGGAGGAGCAACACCTCATATTCCGCCTCGGGAGCCTACAGCCCAATGGCCCAAACATGGAACTCACCAGTTTTAAAATCTCCCCACCCCTGGCCTCATCCCATGTCCAAGCCTTTGTCTCATCCCTGCCTCCTTAACCTGACACAATCTGTCCATCTTCTCTCCCACCTATCCGGCCCTCCCATCCCACTGACCAATCTCCACCACTCCCTACCTGCACTCCCCACTGACCAATCTCCACCACTCCCTACCTGCACTCACCTATCACCATCCCACCTATCTTCCCCAGCTCAGCCCTCCTCTCTCTATTTATTTCCCAGCTCCCTTCCCCTTCCACGTTTCTGAAGAAGGGCCCTGGCTCGAAACGTCAACTTTCCTGCTCCTCTGATGCTGCCTGACCTGCCGTGTTCCTCCAGCATCTGCAGTTCTTGCTATCTCTATAGAACCATTGAGTCACCTCACCAAACCAGGAGAGCAGATGTCACAGTGAAATTGGACAGTTCTCTGAGGCGGCACTGAGGCACAACAGTCATATTCATAATGACAAATTCCAAGGTGCTTCTAAAAACTGTTATCCATCATAACTTGATGCTGAGGAGATCAGGAGGCATCAGGGAAGGAAACTAAAAACCTGGTCAAAACATGTTTTTGTAAGAAGCATTTTAAACTTGGAAATAGGGGCAGAGAAACAATGAGGTTTGAAAGGGAATTCCAGAGCTTAGGGACCTTGAAAGCTGAAAACAAGGCATCCAATGTTGGCATGATTAATGTTGTGAATGTGCAAGATTGTTAGAATCAGAGGGGGACAGACATTTTGGAGTTTGTGGGGCTGCAGGAAATTGAATTCCGTTAGTAATTGGTTTGGTGAAGTCTTTTTCCTTCTCAAACAGAAAGGTGTTCGTTCAAGTCCCACTACTGAGAGACAAGCACAGAACTAAGGGTGTTCTACGGGAGTTCCTCATTATTGAAGGTGCTGTTTTTCCAATGAAATTTTCAACCAAAGCCCCATTTGTCTTCTCAGATGAATTTAAGAGTTTTCAAGAACCTACTTCCAAGGAGAGTTCTTTGCAGTGCCCCAGCCAATATCTATCCCTCAACCAACAACGCGCAAACAGCTGATTTGGCCACCTTTCCTGGTCTTTGTGGCAGCTTTGTGACAAATAGGCTGCTGTTTTCTCTGCAGTGCAACATTTCAAAAGGTGGTTCTAACACGTTTTGGGACTGCCTGGAGTTGGGAATTGGCAATATATAAATAAATACCTTTTCTCCACTATTTTACTTAGTGCACATACTTGGCGCACATGAGGAGTTGCAGTTTGTAAGGCTTTGTGATTTTGAATGATATAATCCATTCTTCAACACGACCTAACACCTAATAAAAAAATTACCGAAAGAGAAACTGTAATATTTTTGCTTCCTTGAAAGGGGTTAAATTGGTCAATAAAATATGCGTGGATTTACCTGAAAAGGCCAACTCCTTGTCAATAAAGCTGCCCGACTTGTGTGGAGTTGCAGCGCCACTTACTGGTGAGAAATTAAAGGCCAGGTCATCTCGAACATTCTGTATTTTAAGAGAAAAGCAAGATATTATTTATCACGGATGCTCAGAAAGGCTGCGAATTTACAAATTTTGTACAAATAATTTACAACGTTGGAGGTATAAAGAACAGGAGGCCATACAGTCCACTGTGAACACGGAAGTGCTGTCCAATTAGATAGTTCCACACCCCCACTCCTGCCCTAACTTTCTCCTTTACAATTAGGTATATAATTACTATTCGACATACCTTCCAAGGCCCTTTCATGCGGAACATTCCAGAACCACTAAGTGTATAAAAGAAATTCTCGCATCCCCTTCTTTATCAACTGTCCCAAACCTGCATCCTTTGATTAGTGATCATCCTGACAGCTGAAATTAGCTTAAATTGGGTGATAGCATTTTGGAATGCCTTGGGGCATGGTCATTATCAGCAAGACTGGTATCTATTGACCATTCCTATGTGGCTCAAGAAGGTGGTGGTCCAACTGCCTTTTTGACCTGAAGTAATCTGCTGGGGATCACAAATCAACACTACTCCTTCAAATGAAAATGTGGAGAGTGACAGAATGTAACATGGATCTACAGATGACCCTGGCATAGCCAATGGTGAGAAATGCCAGCTGGCTGCTTTATTCCAATAGGCAGCTCGGTGACACATAACATGTTGGAACAGGAGCTGGCCATTCAGCCCCTCAATCCCACTCTGCCATCCAATTACGCAAGGGCTGACCTAAATCGCAACTAAAAACAGGAAGTGCTGGAGAAACTCAGCAGATCTGGCAGCGTCTGCAGTGAGAGAAACAGAGCTAATACTTTGAGTCAGGTATGAGTCTTTTTCAGTTTTAAAAAAATTGAAGAAAAGTCATACTGCACAGATGCTGCCAGGCTTGCTGAGTTTCTCCAGCATTTTCTGGTTTTGTATCAGACTTCCAGCATCTGCAGTATTTTGCTTTTATCTGACCTACAGCTTAGCTTTGTGGACTGACACATACACAAAAACAATAGAATCCCTACAGCATGGAAGCAGGCCATTTGGCCCATCAAGTCCACACTGACTCTCTGAACTGCATACTGGCCCAAACCCACCCACCTACCCTATCCCTGTAACCATGCATTGCCCATGGCTAATCCACATAACCTGCACATTCCTAGACACAATAGGCAATTTAGCATGGCCAATCCACCTAACCTGCACATCTTTGGATTGTGGGAGGAAACCGGAGCACCTGGAGGAAACCCATGCAGACACGGGAGGAATGTGCAAACTCCAGACAGACAGTCACCCGTGGGTGGAATTGAACCCGGGTCCCTGGTGCAGTGAGGCATCAGTGATAACCACTGAGCCACCAAGAGAATGATAACTTATAGTTACAGATAGCATACTTCCTTCCATAGGAACCACAAGAGCACATCATGGTAGAATGGCAGGCCATGGTACAATGTAGGGGTCAGAAGGTCACTATGCCTCAAGACAATGCAGAGCTGGATACTCACAATGCCCGAGAAGTTCATGCTGAAAGTGGAGAGATCCCTTTGAATCAGCCGCTGGATATTTTCAAACAACAGCTTCAGCAGTGGCAGGTATAGTAGGCTTATCCTTGCTTGCATGTTCTGAAAGGAAAAGATGGTGATGTATTGACTTTAAAAATCTCCCAAATTCAGATGCTGGAAGAGGAGAAAAGAACTTGCTCCTAGAGATGTTGCAAAATTCCAAAATGCTTCACAGCCAACAAAAATCTTTAAGAAACATGACTGTCAAATCCTGAATAGCAATATCCCACAATTGGTGGTGTGCGAATGACTGGATAATCTACCTTATAAATGTTGGCTGAGGGGTAAATATCAAGCAGGACACTCGGAGAATTCTATAAATAATATCATGAGATCTTTTATGTCTGAAGAGGGACACAGTTCCTCAGTTAGGTCCGAGAATGCTGCACTAGAATGTCAGTGTGAATTGTGTGATTTGGGTTTGAGCCCATAGCCCCTGGCTCAGAGGTGAGGGTGCTATCACCCAAACATTGACTGACAGAGGAGCGGCACTGCCCCGTTAACATTAGCCACCTCTGCCACCACAGACTGGATGAACCTTCACCAACTGAGGTTTTCACAACACTGTTAACTTTTAAGTTCCTTAATGGCATTCAACACCAAAGTGGGATGCAGAGTTTGCAATGTGTTACAATATCTCCAGGATGAATCAACCGCCAATCTCTCATCTGGTGATGCAGTAACCAACCTGACCAGTAGATGGCAAGTACTGGAGTCTGAGCCATTCTCATCATTTTGAACCTTAAGGGCACAACCAGGGATTAATGTTTTATATCAGTTTACTGTTCTGGGATCAATAATTTTTCTTTCCCCTGATCCCAGCACCAATTCCTTTGATGCACTACTGGATACTGGCCTCCAGTCATGCAACAGCCATCTCCCACTACCCTCTGAGACAACAAGGTGTAGAGCTG